TCCGTCAGATCCCTTTTCTCGTGGCAAAGACAGACTGTTGATATAATGACTTACTGGCTTTGAATACCCTGGGCAGTTTGTTTGGTTTTTACTGCGACTGCAACTCAACATGTTTCAGAAGGTGGCACTTGGGATGCTTGTGATTCACATCGATTCAAATAGACTCTGTCTTAGATCTTGCCAGACGTGGTTTGATGTTGCAATCAAGTCTTGTGGTCGAATTATGTGTCTGCGGATGATCTAGCCTAATTGGTAATAATTCATTGTACTTCTCTTACGCATCTGCCCCACCAGTGATCGAATTAGATGAAATACTATAAACTGTGGTCAAAGGCATGTACCATTGTTTATAAGTTGGAGGAAAACTTGTGCTATTCCTCGAGATAAATGGTGAAACTTGCATGGAATGAGACATGATGTATTCGTCTGTGGTCTCTCATTTGTTGTGCTGGAGAGTTATTCTCCTGCATCACGTGGATTACGATTTTAATAACTTGAAACATCGGAGATATAGAACGACAAAGAAAATCTACTGCCATAGAAGGAGGATCATCAGAAGGCCAGTTTTTGTAATCATGTGTCAAGCATTGTTCACAGGAAGTTTGAGATGCATGTAGATAACACCATGTATTATAGACTTGAATTTGGTATCCAAGCATCTTCGCTGTGATTTACAAAACCCCAGGATGCTTAGTGTGATGCCGCATTACTTGTAAATGCCAAGGTAATGTTAGTCAACTATCCATAGAAAAGGCCTGTTTTGCAGCATTTGCTTAACATTTATCTGAAGCTATTTGTCAGTCACTAACCCGAAGGGAGAACTTTCAAAAAATATTTTAAAAAGGTGCTTGGGTGTTAAGCATTCTTACAATGAAGGTGTCTTCATTGCTGCAATGAAACGCTTTGGGACAATGCTAATACCTGATTAGTTTTGCGCTGAAAGGCCTATTTTGCTGCATTTGCTTAGCAGTTGTTTAAAGCTATGTCAGTCATGATCGAGAACCTTTGATATACCTTCCCTCATGGCAACACCAGCTGGAATTCCAAATACTTGCACTCATCGACTGCACACCCAAGACATTTATGATAGACTTACTGGATCTCAACAAGCTGTTGTTTCAGCAGGACAGTGTCAGCGTATCATGATGAAACCTCGCCAGCACAGGCATGCTGCAAGATAACAATGGTTTTTGCGGTAAAGGTAAAAGCTATTCTGACCTGGTTGACAGTACAGTGCTTAGTTTGTTTGCCTCACACCTGGGAGATTCAGGGATTGATTCCCAGAGCCGATGATCACTCGGCAGTATAAATCCGAGTACACTCTTCCCTGCCTTCAAATAACGTGGTCCTTCAAATAACGTGGTACTAGGTTTGGGAGACTGGTTCAATCACTGTATTTTTACTTTGCCAATCATCCTTACTCTACACCTAATTGAGGGAAGTTATCAGTTGAAACCCTTGGATATTAGTCAATCATGACCCCATTTCGAAATATATATTTTTGCTAGATCCAACATTGTGTTTGAAAACACCCCAACGGTCAGTTCGATCATTTTCTGAAACTACTTTGGCACGTTCAAAATGTTCTAAATCCCTATTGAAAGCACAAAGCAGGATGAATAGAAGGCTTCTGGTTGTCGGTTGCCGCTTTTTATAAGACTTGTGAATTGAAGTTCAGAATGTATGCACATGGTGCCATTTCGTCGTGCATCCTGAACAAGCTCCTGATCATAATATTACGTCTAGAATTAGCATGTGCATATCAAACCCGACTGTGTAATCATCAGCAATGCTGTCCAGAAAAACCATGCAATGTATGTAGCTGGAAAATATTTGTTTTCCTAATGGCGAGAAACGTGATAAACAGTCCTAAGGCCAAACCCAAAGCAAAACAGGTTTCAAGCAAGGGGTAAGTAACACAAAAAATACGAAACGACCCACATCACGAATTTAACATGCATTGTGATTTTTTTGAGTGGAAGAGATTTATAGATTCACAAAAAAGTTCATGCCGGCTGTGGCAACTCAACAATAGTGGCATACATGGAGGGAAATACAGTATGCTAAGTCAACTGGTCGAGGAGATGTTGTTTTGATTTGTATGACAAATCCCGTTAGTGGCTTTTAGGATTGATTTCCGATTCGTGTAAATTTTACAATTTTTAGTCAAATGTACGTGATTTTCTATTGCATACAGGTAACTAAATTTCCCCAGTACGTTCCGTAAATGAAAAATGACATCACATTTCTAAACAGTCGTACTGAATGGTCAGAGTGTATTCATTGTGGTATTCCTGTAGTGTTCGCTCCGTGGTCAGCATTCAGAAATACTCACTCCTCTAGCACTCGGGTAGTACTATTGATGACAGACGTCGGAGACGGATTCTTACACAACGTAAATCAAGATTCATTTTGTAAAGGTTACATGCATCGGTATAATAAAGTTACTTCGGTGGTCAGTTATATTAAGTAACACATTATTCACCTTTCCTACGCCTTTGTTAATTCTTGATCAGTTATTTTGTAAAGTTCGTCATATGGTAATTTATATCACGTGGTGGGTCAAATTAGTGTTGTGTAGTGAACTTCACTTTGTGACTGAAGTTGATTCACAGTACTTGAATTGCAATTACAACTATGTCCTGTACGATGGAGTCACGCTTGTGTTTTAATTTATATGTTTACATACCTAAGTAAAACAATTAGTTATCAGTTTATTTCTAATAATATATAATCCAACGTGGAATCGTTATTCGTTAAAACAAATTTATTTAAACTCACACTGCCTTTACATTAAATAACAAATACAAAACCAATAAAAAATAACTTATGACAGTCTGATCCCTGAATTCTGCAAAACAATGTCATTAACATTGTACCACGTGATCACCATTCATTAATACGCAGTGTTTAATCTAGTATTAGATTTATTATAAGAAAGTCCAGTCAAAAAGTAACTCAACAATTTGCATATTGATTGAAAAGTGTAATTTTAATTGGTGAGTTGAAAAGATTATAGTATTAGCATAAAGTAAAGAGTTATTACCTGCTGCACGTTGTTCAATTTTTCTGAATCCTTTGATACTCTATTTCCAAATGTGGCATGTATTTATAAAATGAACAAAAAACGACACAGCAATTGCAATTACGTCATAAATATTAAACAATACTCTAATATGTAAGAATAATTTGATGCCATTCTACTCAACCGGAAATAAGCGGATTGAAATAAACCAAACAAACCACACAATTTTGTTAGGAATTATTGATTGGTAAATACGAAAATCAATATTGCTTTTTATATTTGTGATACAATATTAAAACCGTGAATTAAACAATTTGTCACGTGCATATCGACAATTAATATATACATCAAACATGTCTTCAAGTTGAAAAGCTCAACAAAATTAAGATTCTTCAAAAATATATTCTTATCTGAAAAAATCATTATGAGTTGTTGTTGTAATGTACATGCATTCTCCTGGTGACTTACATAAATAATTAAAATATCCAATGATTCTCATTTGTAAAGTGTTAGTTCACTGAATAGTAGATATCCGTGATTTAATCATATACATATCAGCGAAGTTCAGCGACAACTTCGGTTTCAAATACCACGGAAACGTGTTCTCGGTTCTGTGATTAATGTGGTGTTATGGTTATGTCTGTATGTCACACTGGAAAATGTGCGTCATTTTTTCTTCACATTCAAACACTTTCCCTCGTGTACTACGAACGCAGCAACAATGTAGCACATGCCTGAATAGAATATCGTCACTGAACGCAAACGATCGCGCAAGCGGGGACACTTTTCAACGGCATTTTGGTCTACGCGTTTCCTGGTATTAAGCGTCGGACAATACGACCAACCGTTCTGTACACACTATTATATGGGTGTCAGCCCATGTTACAATCCATACTTTAAATAAATAAATAGTATTCACATTTTCAACCTCGAATTAATAAATAACAAACAATTTTGCATTTTGTGAAGATGTGAATCTGTTTGATAAATTTATAAATGTTTTATAAAATTTATACGACTGTTGAAAACCTCTAAACCAATCACGCGTTTAGAGTGGCCACTGACTGAAGTAACCTCGCAAAGACTCATGGGTAATGGGCGTTGCCAAATGGCTTCTATAGCCAATGAAATATAAATGTGGTATAATAAATTACTGAATCTCAAATCATTCGAATCAAATAAATAAAATGTAATTGTACTATTAATTACAACTGAGTATATAAATGTGTGTGATACAAGTCAGAGCTCGTCGGCAAGAGGCCATTGACACTGCTCTCTTGGGCTGCACTGTTCAACGCACGTCGTAACGACTCTTGCAATTCTTCTTTGATTTCACTGCGAATCGTATGGATTAGGTCGTCTTTCAGCGACTCGAGTTCAGATTTATCAAATGACTGGGAGATGAACGATGGAGGGTTCACTGTTGACAAACTGCGTCGCGGGGCACCCACTATAGTCGTCGACTCGTTTTCGGGAGCACCCGAGATTCCCCGTAACTCGCCGATGATCTCGTGCTTCACATTCTCTATCTGTGACGTACCACGCATTTGTTCCTTCTTCCGGTCTGCTCTCAACTCGTATCTGCAAAAAAGGGGGTTCGTAAATTACACGGCACCTCGAATTGGTAGATTTAAATTATGTATGTAATATACTGTACACTATCTATAGTCAAAAATGCAACATAACATCAAAACAACTTAAAATAAATACATAGATATAGAGTATTATAGTTATATTGCTATTACATTTCACCAATATACTTTGCTGCAATATTAGCAATAAAACTATCATCTACACTTAACAAATCATTTTTAGATCAAGTTTTCGTTGTAAACTTAGCTTTCTCTCGTAAAAAGATACCCTTATCTGTTGCACTTCAGCACATTGACATTCTGACAGGACATGAACTTCACTGCAAACGTAATGGTTGTCACACAAACTTAATAACATTTTCTCTCTAAATTTTTGCATCTTAACTTTTCTATTGACAATGCTTTGCCTGCATCGGTTATATATATTCATTTTTTCCTGGTTGGAGTCCATATGTTATCAATGTAGCACTATTTTCATTATTTTAAATTAAGTTTAAAGTGCGGCGGTCGTCGCACCGCGTCCTGTTCGATATGGGACTCATAGCGACGTATACAAGTGTGTAAAATACATTGTTTGTTTAGTGCCCTCTCACCTTAGACTCGATATATCCTGTTTGATTTCATTCAAGTCATCCTCGTTGACGCCATCCTGTTTTTGCTCTGCTTTTTGTTGGTGTATATATCGACTGACCAATCTTTTCATTACATCCTGGTATTTGATATTTTCTTGTAGCGGAGGCCCAATAACACCGTCACTGTTTAAATGCGTTTTCTGAACATTAAAAAAACCGGAACACACACATTTATTCATACAAAATGTGTTGATAGATAGCAAGGGTCTCATTTTTGGTACCAGATTTATAGAATTGAATTGCATGAACAAATACACGTGATATACCGACATACACAAACTAAGTAATAAGTCACATGATTGTCACACAGTAAACATCAGTCGAATCTTACAAGATGGTGGACAGCCATTTTATTAATAATACACGTGTTATGATGACATCACATATATTGCGTAATGATAGCCTCGATCGCAAAGTAATGTTACTGGCACGTAGTACATAGCTCGTATATAGTATTTGAATAATAACATGACAATGATCGCAAGTGTCATAACTTTCAACAGACAACTCGAATCTGTGTCGTCTGCAAATATGCAAATGATTTGCACACGTCATTCAAAATATGTCATTATCGTTTACATCTCACCTTTATCGTCCCTTCCAATGACTGCCTCTGTGGTCTAGATTTTGTCTTTTCACAACTCCCGCACATGATTCTCTGTATTGCTTTGAAAAAGCATACCATCGATTTTGGGCTTATGATTAAATTGAATGGCGGCGGCAGTGTTGACCCCTCGTCAAAATAACTCATCCAGAGTTTTGTACGCGCGAATTTCCACTCCCTATCTGCATGGTCCTGTCATAAAAGATAATGGTTAGAGAGGTGTGTATGCTTATGCTACAATTATATTACATTTATACTCCCATATTCGAACGATTTAGATTTCGCTTATAGTCACTGGAAATAACGAAATCAGAGTATATATATATAAAGCGTAACATATCTTAAGAAGTCTTACGTTTTTCGATTTCAGCGAATTTAAATGTGACTGTCATTTTTTATTTTTTAACATAGGTGAGCATTTTAAAATAATGCTCTGTGAGGTAGAACTAAAAGTGACACGTTGCTACTGTACTCCATTTGAATAGTTTGATGCAACATAGGATATGCATAAATTACTCAAATATATGGTTTTGCATTATTATACAACGTAAGATGGGATGGTAATGAGTAAAATAAAGATCTGGACATTTATGAAATTTGTCATAAAATATCTCGCGACAACATTTTGAACACAACGTTAATGATTTTTTTTCTATTTTGTTTCGGGATATTGGAATTTACGTGATTCGCCATATAATAGTGTGGTATTCCCACACAGTATTGAATTATACAGTGACTTAATCGTGTGGCTGTTTGACGTGGAAAACTCGAATGGCGTTCAAGCAAGAAATAGGTATTATTCATATCACTCCCCGGAAAACTAGACAAACGTGGATTTTAGGATATTTGAAGTGAATCCAGTGTTTAATGTTTTTCCTAACTATATACGTAAAAAAATTGTTTTCCCTAGTTAGCATGTCTTTTTCGCGAATTTAGCGAGAGAACTGATTCGCTAATTCAAGATGTACGGTCGCTAATGACTTTATTATCAATTCAAAATGGCCACCAAACAAAGAAATCAAGGGAGATTCGCTAAATCAACATTTCGCTATTACGTCATTTTACCACAATTCGCTAAAAATTGCATGTCGCTTTTTTCAACATGTTTTACAGTATATTGGGCCCATGTGTCATTTCACTCCAGTAATGTTTCCTCGCACAAGAGT